TGTTGATAGTGAGACGGTCACATGACATGTCTTGGTCCCTCAAATCGTGTTCTACCCCCCTCCCCCATCAAATACACTGTTCTAAATACCATGGTTACACAGAACAGGGGGGAGGCAGTGGATACAATGATGGAGAAAAAAACACTATTTGAGAACCAAATACAAGTCACATACAGAGAGTGCACCTAGCAGTGTGTGTATCACAGCAACGGCAAATTTCAAAGAAACATACCTCGTCCTGCTCCACGCCCTCTTGTGAAAGATGGCATCTGTGTTGTCATATCTGATGATGTGTCCAAAGCTGCTGGGAGAAAGGAGGACATAGTAGGCCCACCTCTCCCTTGTCTATAACCCCGTCCCCGTCCTCTGATGTAGGATGACGTCTCTGATGTCGTCTCAGATAACGTGTCGTGAGACGTGTCTGTAGGTGTGTCCAAGGCTATGAGAAAGTATAGAGACAAAACAGAATGAGTTACGTTGTAGTAAAATTATGAATTTGTTAGAGTTATGACAACATCAATCACACTGAAACACAGTAAATGACATCTTTCACAATAAAAACACAAATAATGATGACAACACTCACACCAAACACAAAGAATGATGACATCACTCACACCGAAACACAAAGAATGATGACATCAGTCACAGTGAAACATAAAGAATGATGACATCACTCACACCAAAACACAAAGAATGATGACATCACTCACAATGAAACACAAACCATGATGACATCACACACAATAAAACACAAAGCATGATGACATCACACACAATGAAACACATGATGACATATAACTATCTGAAACAGGAAGGACATCATTCACAATGAAACACAAAGCATGATGACATCACTCACAATGAAACACAAAGAATGATGACATCACTCACAATGAAACACAAAGCATGATGACATCACACACAATGAAACACAAAGCATGATGACATCACACACAATAAAACACAAAGCATGATGACATCATTCACAATGAAACGCAAAGAATGATGACATCACTCACAATGAAACATAAATGATGATGAGAAACAACTCACTCTGAAACACAGTAAATAATGACATCAATGAAACACAAAGAGGAAAGGAAGTTAGAAAGAAGTGGGAAGGGTAGATCAGGTGTGATATGAGTGATAGGAGAACTAGGAGTGATATAGAAACAAGTCATTGAAAATGACACAGTCCCCGTTAAGTTCTCTTTGTGCTCGTCATATTAAAGCGGAGGGGTTGTCGCGAGTGTGTCCTTGAAACTTGAGTTCCAAGTGGCGTATACCACAGATTGTTTATTTACATCAAAACACGTGTTTCGTGTCATAGTAATATGGCCAAAATAAAAACAGCCGTTATTCGGCCATCTTTGATCTGATTATGAAACACACTGATATGTATGATGTGCCAAATATGAACGAAAATGGTACATAAATTGTGGAAATATAGTAGTAAGGCCAAAAAGTCAGATGGCTGTCAATCGGCCATCCTTGACCAGATTTTGAAACAAATTGTCATGGACATGCATTCTAACATGTATAAAGTACATGTACCGGGGGTATGTGCCAAATTTGAATGAAAACTGACAGAGCACGTCCAAGATACTGCATAAAAAAACAAAAACAAGATGCCTGCCAGTCAACCATCTTTGATCCAATTGTGAAATAAATCGTCATGGACATGTATCCTTACATGTATAATCTATGTACTAAATTTGAATGAAAACTGACAAAGCATGTCCAAAATATTACATTTTCAAAAAAACAAGATGGCTGCCAGTCGGCCATTTTGAATCAAATCGCTAAACCACTGCATGTGCATATGTCCCACATAAAGTACTAGTCACATGCAAAGAATGAACGGAATCGGTCCAAGGGATTCTGAGATATGACTCCGGACGGACGCACGGACGCACAGACGCACAGACACACGGACGGACGAAGACCGAATTATAAGTCCCCGTTTTCGGACTTCGTCCGAACGGGGACTAAAAAAGAAAGACAATCCATGATGTTCTGTTCACTGCAATGTTCGCACAAAAGGTGAGGACTGAATGTCTGCTACAAAAATAAAATGATTCAATTTTGAATTTGCTTTTCTTTATAACTCAATGTAAAAATGCCGACTATTGAGAGAGTAATATTGTGTTGAGATACCCTTACAAAATTGACATAATCAAATGAGTACTGCACATTTTTGAGGTGAAAACACCCCCAAAATCTTCTTGCATTTCTTTTATTTTGTGCAATGTTTTGACATCATTACGAGGCTATGGCTTTGTTTGTCCTGTTTTTATGTTCAATTTCAAGCGTAAATGAATCTCGCAGTGAATGGAAAATAATCTATTGAGATACAATGAAGAAAGACGATAGAAAAGACACACAGACATACCAATACCTTTTTGCAGTGAGCGTTCTAAATCCCCAAGTACTTCGTAAGCAGAAAAAAATCTGAACGGAAACTGTTTACTATAAATTACTGCTTTTTCATCGGTCAGCTTACGTAAAACCCAGGCGTGGTGTTTATCACTGATGCCCGCCTGTATCATGTTACGAATATTTCGTAACATTGCCATGAAAGGTAACTTCTTATGATCTGGAACATGATTGAAATAAAATAAAAAATTATCAATTAACTGAACTGCTTTCATTTTACAACTCTGGGACTAATTTTCACTGATTTACCATTTCAGGCATATTTACTGGGTTTTAAAGCAGAAGGGTGTCACCTGCGGGAATTGAGTCCGATAATAACACACACTAAAAACGCAAAGGTTCTTGGGTAGACACTTGTTTGTAGACAATGACATGCTATAGCCATCTGACGCATGTGAAGGTGACAACTCCCTCGTTTTAAATTCACAGTTTTATCATTTACATAATGTGTCCTATACTAAATTTTACATATTTACTGGGTTTTAATTTAGCGCATTTTACAGTCAGCGAAATAAGCAAAATTAAAACCCAGCGAATAATTAATCCTTTTACAGTAACTCTCTGGTGCACTATGCAGTGTTATGTACTACACTGTATATACCAGCCACATGACACTAAACATTGAAAAACTCTTTATAGAAAATCTATATTTTTTGGTGAGAACTTATTTAAAAAATGTTATTATACAAAGTGCAAAAACACAGCTTAATAAGTTAGCCACCTTTTGAAGGCTTGTCATAAGTACATAATTGAGTGTTTATACGAGTTCATCGTATTATTATGCTCCGAGATATGGACATCACATGATGTAATTCATCACAAATTTAATTATCATATTTGTTTTGCACAATCTCTGTTAAAGCGAGAGGGTCGTCACATGCGCGCACACGGGAATTGAGTCCCAAGCGACGATAACAACACACGCTAAAAACGCAAAAGGCTCATGGGTAGACACTTGTTTGTAAGCAATGACACGCTATGGCCATCTGACGCATGTGCAGGTGACGACTCCCCCGCTTTAACATGGTGGTATACTTTCTCAAGTGATGTGAAAGAAATTCTGATAATTGTTTATAGAAATGATTGATGTGTTGTCTGTAGTTTGATTTTTTCATCCATTTCAGCTTTATTCAGGTAACTATGACAATAGCTAAAGTGTTCTAAAAAGGAACTAACCAATCAAATCTTGCCAGGTGGTTGCTTTGTTCCCCTTTGATGATACCTGCGTCTCCCACGTCTCTGGTGTTGGTAGTTTCATCCGTTTGTCTGCTTTACTGACATCCCACTCCCCAGTCAATCCACTTTTACTAAAACTTTCTTCACTATCTGGATACCTAGATGTGAAATATTTGAAATGTACTTAGAAAAGATTATATTGTTAATTATCCTAACTTTTCTAATACGAATCTTATATTTTTGCAAAGGGATTGCCTAACTTTGAAAAGCAGTTGCCTAATTGTGCAAGGTATTCTAACTCTTCCAAGATGTTGCCTAACTCACCCAAGGTGTTGCCTAAATCTTCCGAGGTGTTGCCTAATTCTTCCAAGGCGTTGCCTAACTCACCCAAGGTGTTGTCTAACTCACCAAAGGTGTTATCTAACTCATCCAAGATGTTGCCTAACTCACCAAAGGTGTTATCTAACTCACACAAGATGTTGTCTAACTCACCAAAGGTGTTATCTAACTCATCCAAGATGTTGCCTAACTCACCAAAGGTGTTATCTAACTCATACAAGATGTTGTCTAACTCACCAAAGGTGTTACCTAACTCATTCAAAGTGTTGCCTAACTCATCCAAGGTGTTACCTAACTCATCCAAGGTGTTACCAAGCTCACCAAAGATGTTGCCTAACACATCCAAGGTGTTGCCTAACTCATCCAAGATGTTGCCTAACTTGCCCATGGTGTTGCCTAACTCACCCAAGGTGTTACACAACTCGCCCAAGGTGTTGCCTAACTCTTCTAACTCATCCAAGGTGTTGTTTAACTCATCCAAGGTGTTGCCCAACTCATCCAAGGTGTTGCCCAACTCATCCAAGGTGTTGCCTAACTCATCCAAGGTGTTGCCTAACTCGCCCAAGGTGTTGCCTAACTCGTCCAAGGTGTTGCCTAACTCATCCAAGGTGTTGCCTAACTCATCCAAGGTGTTGCCCAACTCATCCAAGGTGTTGCCTAACTCGTCCAAGGTGTTGCCTAACTCGTCCAAGGTGTTGCCTAACTCGTCCAAGGTGTTGCCCAACTCATCCAAGGTGTTGCCTAACTCGTCCAAGGTGTTGCCTAACTCGTCCAAGGTGTTGCCTAACTCGCCCAGGATGTTGCCTAACTCTTCTAACTCATCCAAAATACTGCCTAACTCATCCAAGGTGTCGCCTAAGTCATCCAAGGTGTTGCCTAACTCGTCCCAGGTGTTGCCTAACTTGCCCATGGTGTTGCCTAACTCGCCCAAAATGTTGCCTAACTCTTCTATCTCATCCAAGGTGTTGCCCAACTCAACCAAGGTGTTGCCTAACTCGTCCAAGGTGTTGCCTAACTCGTCCAAGGTGTTGCCTAACTCTTCTAACTCATCCAAGGTGTTGCCTAACTTCCAAGGTGTTGCATAACTTGCCCATGGTGTTGCCTAACTCTTCTAACTCATCCAAGGTGTTGCCAAAGTCATCCAAGGTGTTGCCTAACTCGTCCCAGGTGTTGCCTAACTTGCCCATGGTGTTGCCTAACTCGCCCAAAATGTTGCCTAACTCTTCTATCTCATCCAAGGTGTTGCCCAACTCAACCAAGGTGTTGCCTAACTCGTCCAAGGTGTTGCCTAACTCGTCCAAGGTGTTGCCTAACTCTTCTAACTCATCCAAGGTGTTGCCTAACTTCCAAGGTGTTGCCTAACTTGTCCAGAGTGTTGCCTAACTTGTCCAGAGTGTTGCTGAGCATATGTCTAAGAAATACAACTACTGTATTTTCCTACACTTACTTTTTCCCAATCAGACACATAATATTAAAGACGGGTTCAGTTATATGTAGTTTTCGTATTAGCTGCTTGAGGGTAAAGGTCAACCTTATCAGCTCATCTTCATTTTCACTCTGCTCACTCAAATAGGATCTCTGAAATAAAACAAACACATAATAATCTATATGCACAACTTTCAAAAGGTCACACATCCTGGTACTTTGAATAATCTCTAAAAGGTCACACATCCTGGTACTTTGTATGACTTTCAAAAGGTCACGGATCCTGGCACTTTACATGACCTACATGTATAAAAGGTCACACATCCTGGTACTTTGCATTACCTCTAGTTTATGGA